GAGAGAGAGAGAGAGAGAGAGAGAGAGAGAGAGAGAGAGAGAGAGAGAAACGATGCTCTCTGGGAATGTCCCCACAGACACAACCGAAGGAGCACAGCACCAATCTCCTAGGGAACTCTGAGCTCAGTCAGTGAGGTCTGGAGAGCCACCATGAGGCCCTGTTGCTCTTCAGTGACACCTGACTGCACCTCTGTGGGTCTCAGTGTCCATGACTACAAGATAGCACAGTGCCTTCCATATAAAGTTAATCGGTGTTAGACCAAAGATCAAATAACAAACCTAACGCAGTCTCAACACATGGCAGCTCTCAGAAAACTGCTCCTTTCACTGGCAGAGGAGAGCCGAGGGTATTTCCATCTGGGCAGAGATGCTGCAAGATTTTATTAGCTGTGGAGAAAGAATCAGAGTAAAAAGTTCAAATGATGATCCACTTGACTTGATATTGTATTTCTGCTGAATGGTCACTGTGGCCCATAAACATGTACAGTGGCAGTCAGTTCAAATGTTTTATAAAGTAGATATTCACTTTGGGTCGATAGCTCCAGTCCTCAGAGTAAGACCAGCAGCCGTGTGAAGTCATACCTTGGGGGGTGGGTCACTTTGTGGATCTCTATGTCCCTATGAGGGTTGCATTCTCATTCCAGGGCAGGATTCCAAGGCCTGGGTTTCTCATATCTGGATCTGGGTCCAAGAAGTCTAGACAAGCAGCTGACTTCACTGCCTTGGGCTTTCTGATGTGAGAAGACAAGCCTGGAAGGAAGAACACTATAGTGTATAGTATAGTATAGTATAGTATAGTATAGTATAGTATAGTGTACTTGTAGGTGTGGGAGCTCCTCCCGCTCCTTCAGCCAATAGACGCTGAGATACCAGCCCACTGGGGCGTGGTCTCTTCCTCTTTAAAAAGCAGCTGCAGCCCTCCGCTTGCTCTCTTGCTCCAACGACTAGACTCCTTTCCTGGCTGTCGTGTAGGATGCTGTTCTGTAAGTTTTTTCCCCTCAAATAAATAACTCTTTGAATTCAAACTGGTGTGGGATTGTTTTGCGCTTTATCTGATGCCCAACGTTTGGTTTTAGAACTAACCCCCACTCCCTATCCCCCATCCCCTGGCTCGGCTGCCTGCAATGACGTCCCCTCTCCCAGTAAAGTTTGCCCTCGGGTTTAGGGACATCATTTAGGGGTTGATTATAATTAGTATTCAGTTGAGGGTTGGGGAAGGAATTTTATAAGCTCAGGGATCTTTTTGAAAAAAAAATTGGATGATGGGATAATAGATTGGTATTTGTGAGCTATTGCTTATAGATAATTACGTTGGCATAGAATTTTGTATATGGATAGAAAGTTAAATTATATTGAATATTGTATGCATGCTTCTACCTCTGTTTAAAACATTTTTTATGTATTGATATATATATATTGTATTGATATATGTATATTTACCATATTGCAGTGTACATTTCTACCTCTGATTAAGATACTTATATATTGTTTATGTATTGATATATATTTACCATATTGCAATGTATACTTGTACATTGTTTATATTTGGAGGTCATTGTCCTCATTTATTGCACAATTGTTTATTCTCTTAGCCTTTAAGTTAGGTATTAAGAATTGTAGATCTATAGTAATCTATGTTTGTTATATTTATAGTTAGACTAATCAGGTTTTTTAGATACATAGAGATTATATTCTGTAAAAATAATCTTCAACCTCTTCAAAGAGCTATAGAAAATGGCATTTAATCTAACTTAAAGTTCTGTGGTAGTGAGACGCAATCACTCCTGACAACACCAATGTATTCCTGAGAGATTGTTGGGCACCAAAGACACTCCACTTGAAGCTTGTCTTCTTGGGCAAGGAACTGCCCATACCTCAACTACTGACAAAATACATAGTATCCAAAAATGGATGAGCAAAACTGTCAAATCTTGCCAAGACAGGGTAAGACAGTTTTGAAAAATTTCTTGCCTTTAAAAATAATCTGTCAGTTATTCTAGGCCTTAGCCAAAGTTGGTTGCTTCAACGCTGCAAATGTGGCTTTGGATGATTGCCCAGGTAGCCAGTTTTCTCTGTGATTTGTTGCATATTTTGAAAGTTGTTTTATTGCACTTCCTGATTACTCAGGTAACATTATTTCCCTTCTCAGATCTTTGATGGGGTTGAAGACTAAATAAATGTAGTTACTTTCCTCTCATGACTTGGCCGAGTTATTTATTATACAAGACTTAAGCTAGTTAGAATAGGATATTTTTTCTTATTGTATATACTTTTATAGTAGGTTTAGAACTCTCTTACTTAAATAAAAGGGGAAGGTGCTGCGGGAGTGCCTTCCGCGCCTTCAGTCAATAGACGCTGAGATACCAGCCCACTGGGGCGTGGTCTCTCCCTCTTTAAAAAGCAGCTGCAGCCCTCTGCTTGCTCTCTTGCTCCAACGACTAGACTCCTTTCCTGGCTGTCGTGTAGGATGGTGTTCTGTAAGTTTTTTCCCCTCAAATAAATAACCCTTTGAATCCAAACTGGTGTGGGATTGTTTCATGCTTTAATTTATGTTTTAATAAATAAACCTTGCCTGAAGATCAGAGGGCAAAGCAGTCACACTAGTCAACCATACAGGCCAGAAAGTAATCCCGGGACTCAGGAGATAGAGACAGATGAATCTCTGTTAGTTCTAGGCCATCCTGGGCTACACAAGATTGAATCTCTTTAAAAGAGAAACAGAGCTCACACAAAGGTAATCCCAGCACTAGAAAGATGGAGACAAGCGTGATATGGCTGGGCAGAAAGAGGAATATAAGGGGGAAGAGACAGGAACTCAGTGGAGTGTGGAGACTTCAGGATTCATGGAGACAGGATCTTGCCCATTTTCCATCTGAAGTAGAGGTAAGAGCCAGTGGCTGGCTGCTATTGCTTTTCTGAACCCCAAAATCTGTCTCTTAGTTTTTATTATTTGTGCTACATTTGGTGCCCAATGTTTGGGGTACAACTTCATGAAAAAGCCATTTGCCTGTGACTTTACAGCCACCAGCATAGACCAGAGCTACACACGCCTGAAGTCATTGCTCTACGTGCTAGGTTTTTCTTTTTTCCTCTCCTGGTGGGCTCTTCCTGAACCCCTCATTCTCAGGCTGCTGTCAAATTAGGTAACTGCCTTGAAATCCAGTCAGGCTTTTCCTGTTCTGTGGAGTAGCAGTAAATCTTACATCTTCATCAACATCGGTGACAGATTTGGTAAGATGATCGAGAATTCGTAAAGGGAGGAATTAGTTACAAGAGAGAGTTTCTTCCCCATATTCAAAAATGGAAAACATGATTACGTTGGAGGGATTTGGGTCTCTGAATGGCACTAGGCTGGACAGCTTGAAAATGGAATGATTAAATGAAAGGGTAACTAATTTAGATGGGTTTATGTAATGTCAATTGTAAACATTATCGGCATTATCATTTTTGCTTTGTCATTAAAAATGTTGGTTAATTTGAGTGCTAAGATACAGGCCTTAGGAAAAAACTAATAAAGCACATTACAGAGATATTCAAATTCAGACAGAGGAACTTAATGGAGAACCAATTTCAGTATTACATTGTAAGACTGGAGAGGGAAAGCCTAAGGTTTTCAGACAACCAACCAACCTTGCCAAATGGCAGAGGCTCTGTTACAGCTAACTGGACTCCTGTGCCAATGTTAGATTT